AATTGGCCGTCCCTTTCATTTTTCGTTGTTACATACGATCCGTTGGTCAACACCGCTGTGCGTATTTCGTATCGCAATACGGATATAATATTTCGCCATATATCGTTGTTATGATGGTTGCCTAATAATCTCTTAATTACTTTATACTCGCTACTTAACGCGCACTTCGTATAAATAATGTTAACAGTTATGTGGCTTACATAATTTGGTAAATTAGGGTCAAATTAATTCCGTAATTATTAAAACGAGCTACAAATTAATTTGCAGGGTTGCGCGTACGTTCGCACACATATATAAGATGATTCTGAGCTCGTGGTATTATGCATCCAAGAGGAAAGCGATTTTTCTTTCTCTCTCTGTAACAAGTTAAAAACGTGGGACAAAGTCTTTTCATACTAGATACCTCGTGATATGAAAAAAATTGAATTAGATAATGTATGAAATATGCCTGCAGTTGGAAACAGTTACTCTGTCCAACAAAGTCGAATGCATTTGTAAATGGAGACAGGATTTACTATAATAACGCAGTGAGTTTCAATTGTTTAATTTCATAAAAATTTTAAAAGTCGTAAATAACCTGACTGTTTCAATAATTTACGGAATGTTGAAGACACTGCCTTTGATTCTTGCTTTACGAATTAAAGAAGCGTGTTAGAATGAAGAAATGTACATTTATTTCTATATTATAATATAGAAATATTTATTGCATCATTATTGACTTATTTTTTACATCGTCGCTTCTCATTTTTCATGTGGAATAGTTCAACGAACTTGGATCTGATTGATTTTTCAAGCCACGTAAGCATGCACTTAAATATTCATGTACATATGTTTGAAAAGCCTAGTTAAAAAAAAACTGGAAAGAGAATTATTTCGTACGAATGAAACTAGATAACAGATAATGATACCTTTTGACCTTTCATTTTCACTTCTGTTACTTGGAGCACATATAAAATAATGCCCTTCCCCGATTATATAAACTACTGATTTCTTTTGAAACCACTCTATACATCCTCAGTGCGGTAATAATTATTCACGAGAAGAAATGAAGAAGAAGAAGAGAAAAGAAATGTACGTTAGAGTTTCGAGATTCGAAAGCTATTTCCATGCGACGACAAAGACCCTAATGAGGTGCCCCTGCTTTGCATTTCACTTTCCCACGTATTTTACACGTACCAACTTATTTTTCACAACTCCTCCAGGAATTAACGTACAAGTGTCATTTATCACACTTTTATTAACCTTAATGCCGCATTTCCATGGTAACACGCGCACAATATAATAGGCACAACAATAACCTCGTTTCAAAGCGCGAGGCGTTGCAATATTTTTGCGATATTTTTACGAGGCGTGGATACGAAAGAAGGGGGGGGGGGATAAACACCGATATATTCCACGGCCAATTAACATAAACCTCTCACAAAGCGGCAGTTTCTGCTGGCGACTGGGGCGCGAGCGTACGACGTATCGATTTCCCGCGGATATACGCCGAATGCAAATGGTCCTTCTTGCCCGGTCGTATTTTGTATTCGCCGGGATTCGGCCGCGGCTGCTTAGAAATTCGAATGCCGATGCTCGCTGCGAAAAATAAGGCGATCTACCACTCCGATTGATTTATACCTGGCATATTTATGCGTTCATCCCTCCGCGTGTATTCGTCGAATGGCCCGGATTAAATTAAAAACAGCACGGATCGCGGCTACTGAATAATATTCGACCAGTTCCGGAAACGTTTCGTCCGCCAGTTTCCTCGTTTCTAAATAGATTAACATAAAGAACTGTTCCTCCGTTCACGGCACGACACGATTTACAGGCAACCATGCGACTTGCGAACGAGAATACGGGAACTGATACTGCTGAAAATTCCGAAATTCACGTGAAACACGCCTCACGAACGAGCGAAGCAGAGTGTTTGAGTTAAGAAGAATCACAGTACCATCAACGAGCGAGAAACGAGCATTGGTTATATGGTTGATCAGGCCATGCTAGTTACAAATTATGACGAAATTTGGCAATTTTCTAATAACGATTTAATTACACTGAAAATCAATAACAGCTCAGTTCATTTGTCCTTTCCTTTAGCCTATATTCCAATTTCCAATCCACAAATTTATGTTTCGTGTTGAACTCCAAGGATCATCCATGGGCGATAGATCGTCGAATTTGTCTTCTTCAATGGCCACGACGTAACGACAGAAACAGATAACTAATAACTAATAATTATATGATTGTATAATTTCCAAATCTTCTCTCCATCATTGGCACACGCGCGTGAAAATACGTATCGCGACGAAAAATATGGCAAACATGACGCGGCCCGTTATTTCCGAATGAGCGTAATTACGCGTCGAGTGAAATCAACGAGCCGTCTCATATCTGACGATGGATAAACTTGCGGGAGAGACGCTGGCGAATTCTCGCCCCGGGTCCGGCATTCTCGTGGCGCGGCGGTTCGCGCGCTCCACTTGGGATTTCATTTCGTGCAATTTGGACGAGCGTGGCGGCCCGTGGAAGCTTGATAATGCGTCGCGTCGCCGACTCGCCCCACGGTGAAAAGAACAAGGAAGGATCAAGGGTGGCACGGTTAACGTGGCAAAGGGAGAAACGGGGAGGGAGGGCCAGTTGGCTGGCGCCACCGGGTGGAAGCTTAGCATGAAAAATGCTTGGATGATCCACGACCGCTGCAGAAAAATTATATCTTAAGCTGTTCCTCTCGCATACGTGTCTTTCATAGCCAACAGCCGGCTTTCGTCATACCGCCGCCACCGAGGTTGTTCCACGTTTATTTTCAAATAAAGCGCGTAGTCAAGAAATTGCTGCCGCTGTTTAATCGTTTTATTCGTGCGTCCTTTGCGATTTCCCCGCTTCAAGATTATCCGCAAGTGCGAGAAAAAAATCTGCAGTCTGGCTATTATAATTGATATCGGGTATCGCTAACAAGAAGACAATTAACTTCTTTAAATCTTGCGTATATCGAATTCTCCGAGTATAATTCTTACACTCAGTGAATTTGAACATAATTAAAGTTCGTTACTGTAATACTATATTGATTTCTTTTCATTTTCTCGAACTGAAAAATGAATCGAGTCCGAAACGAAGCGAACCCAACAATTTTACTTTAATTGTAAAAGAAAAAAACTGACGAATCGAAAGTTACGTTTGATATGAAATACGATACTGACGATACTCAAAAATGTAGATATCTTCAAACATGAAAAAAAAAAAAAAAAAAAAAAAATATCCAGCGAGCCGCAGCAAGAAGAAACGTGAAAAAAGAAACCGTACACCATTTTGTCGTGATATGAACATTCATACCATGGAAAAAAAAAAGGAACTAATAATGACGAATTAATTACAAAATGATAAACTAATCACAATGCACACAGTAAGATTAATTTTCAAAAATACTTTGAAATCAAGTCTCAAGCTAGACTTAAATAAATGTTAATTCCATAATAAGAATTGAATCTGAAATTGTGCGGTTTAAATTTAATTTGGAAAAATGTTAAATTACAATGGACGCGATAAATATTAACTGGGGGGAGTAGAAAGAGAAGAAGAATGAGAGTTGATCGAATCTAGAGCCGGTTTACACGACGGAGAACGAAAGCCTAGGAGTCTGTAAGTGGAACAAGCATGAGGTAATAGTTCCTGATGGACCTGGAACGAGATGGAGGGCCTTATCTCGCGAATAGACACAAAAGGAAGTTCTCTACCCTGTAGCTGAGAAAGAGAGAGAAAGAGAGAGAGTCGCGACAGTTGAACGAAGGAGAGAAACATCCCGGATACACCCGGTCTAGAAAATAAACGAGTTCATTCGTGTATTTCAGATTCCCTTTAATCTTCCGCGGTGTGCCTCGTCTATCCGCGGAGAAGCTTCTTCCTATCTTGATTGCTTGGAATCCTCGGATTTTAGGTCTGAGATATTGGGTCTCGAATTGTCGACAATTGTCGCGGAGAACTGTTGTTATTGCATCTTAAAAATCCTCACTCTCGAGAGGGACAACTCTTTTTCGGTCGTTCAGTATTCGAATTTAAATTTCCTCGAGATTCATTTCATCGAATTTTTATTATTGGTGTGTAATTCCCAAGAGTCTGCAGCTGAGTATCTCGAAAGATAATCAGAAAAATTATTTACAGAATTATCTCCTTTTTCCTATAATGATTTATATTATATAACATGATATTATTATTATAACTGGGTTAAAAATTAGAAAAATTGTATTCTATTCTATTAATATTTTTTATATATATGTAATATTATTATTATAACTGTGTTAAGAATTAGAAAAATTGCATTTTATTCTATATAATATTTTATGTATATATATAATATTATAATATTATTATAATGTGTTAAGAATTGGAAACATTGTATTCTACTCTATATAATATTATATATATAATAATAATACAATATTATTATCAGAACTGTGTTAAGAATTAGAAAAATTGCATTCCACTCTATATATATATATATATAATATATTTATAATATTATAATATTATTATAATGTGTTAAGAATTAGAAAAATTGCATTCCACTCTATATAACATTATATATATATAATATTATAATATTATTATAATGTGTTAAGAATTAGAAAAATTGTATTCTACTCTATATAATATTATATATATATATATAATAATATAATATTATTATCATAACTGTATTAATAACTAGAAAAATTGCATTCTACTCTGAATTTAATCCTCTCTTACACTTAATTTTCAACTTGAGATTCGTGTAAAATCCTTATCCCTTCATACCATCATAAAAAGTTCCCGCGCCTAATCTCTTTCAATTTCTTTCGTAATCCTCGCCTTAATTAATACCTCATAGAACTACATACACATAGAGAGTGACTCGCCACTATGTGATACTACAAACACCATGTGATTAAGAAATGTTGGAATAATTATGAATAAAATCGGAAAAAAATTGGTCGTAGAGAGGGGGATGATGCTCCGATCCGTGAACTCCGGGCGACTTTGCGAGTCGGTTGTTGGCTTGTTCGCGTGCGCCATGAGGCTGCATGGTAGGTTCGTTCGGAAATTATCAGGAATTAAATGCCATTAAATTTACGATTACTCGCCGACAATTACCGGGCCGCGTAGGAAGCGGAGAGGAGACGCGCGCCGTTACTCGCGCCGGTTACCCTCTGGTAGCGGTAATAACAGGGGAGGGCCAGAAATTGTGGTTTCACCCGATACCCCTTTTCTCGATGGGGGCATCGTTTCAGAATTTATTGGCTACATTGATCACGAACACCCTTATCAATGACGTCGCCAGCCGATGGAAATGCTCGTCCCGTCCGTGGATGGTTCTCTTAATGTTACACTCGTTGCAGTGAATGTGGTTTGTGTTTCTGTGTTTTGAAAATTTTTTTCATTTCTCTCTCTCTCTCTCTCTCTCTCTCTCTCTCTCTCTTTCTTTCTTCTTTGTACTAGCATTGAGAATTTTATTGGTATAAGAACTTGTTTTATTAAGTATAATATTCTTTTATTAACTATATTAACTATCATATTAAGAATTTCTTTAGTTGTTGTTTCTTTTTTTTTTTTAGATTACGTCGAGAATTTTTTGATATTAAAGTTTTATTAGTATCAAGGTGTTTTTGTGTTTTGAGAATTTTTTTATTTCTCTCTTTCTCTCTTTCTTTCTTCTTTGTACTAGCATTGAGAATTTTACTGGTATAAGAACTTCTTTTATTAAAAACTATAATATTAAGAATTTCTTTAGCTTTTTTTTTTTTTCTTTGAGATTTCGTCGAGAATTTTTTGATATTTTTATTAGTATCAAGTTTTATTAGTATCAAGGTGTTTCTGTATTTTGAGAATTTTTTTAAATATTTCTCTCTCTTCGTTATCGATACTACCATTGCTATGAGAACTTTTTTTTATTAAGAACTATAATATTAAGAATTTCTTCAGATCTTTTCTTTTCTGAGATTGTGTCGAGAATTTTTTGATATTAAAGTTTTATTAGTATCAAGGTGTTTCTGTGTTTTGAGAATTTTTTATTTCTCTCTCTCTCTCTTTCTTCTTTGTACTAGCATTGAGAATTTTACTGGTATAAGAACTTCTTATATTAAAAACTATAATATTAAGAATTTCTTTAGTTTTTTTCTTTGAGATTGCGTCGAGAATTTTTTGATATTAAAGTTTTATTAGTATCAAGGTGTTTCCGTGTTTTGAGAATTTTTTTAAATATTTCTCTCTCTTCGTTATCGACTACCATTGCTATGAGAACTTTTTTTTATTAAGAACTATAATATTAAGATTTTCTTCTTTTTATTAAGAACTATAATATTAAGAATTTCTTCAGATCTTTTCTTTTCTGAGATTGTGTCGAGAATTTTTTGATATTAAAGTTTTATTAGTATCAAGGTGTTTTGAGAATTTTTTATTTCTCTCTCTCTCTCTCTCTCTCTCTCTGTATCGATACTAGCATTGAGAATTTTATTAGTACAAGAACTTTTTTTTATTGAAAACTATAACATCAAGAATTTCTTTAGATCTTTTTCTTTTGAAGATTGCGACGAGAATTTCTTAGGATTAAAATTTTGTTAGTATGAAGGTGTTTCTGTGTTTTGAGAATTTTTTAAAATATTTCTCTCTCTTCTTTATCGATACTATCATCGCTATAAGAACTTTTTTTTTTTATTAAAAATTATAATATTAAGAATTTCTTTAGATCTTTTTCTTTCGAGAATTCCTTGGCATCAAAATTTTACTTTTAATAGATTTATATGAGGATTTGCCGACAATTAGTAGAGATTTGAATTATTGAGATTAAAGTTCTCTAAATTCGGATTAAATTTGACACACGAAACCAAATTGATAATTTGCAGGCAACGTTAATACTTTTTCTAAAATATATCCCTCCTTCTCCCCCAAAAGAATCAAAATTCTGTAAATTATCAGGGATAATAATCCCATGGCAAAGCTCAAGACGCATTTCTCCCACGAATTCGCGTATCATCCATTATTCATTGAACTATGCAATTACCTTGGTTTTGTCTTGCGTCTTACTGCAGGGAGAATCATTGCGAAATTGAACGGCGGCGGCGGAACAAGATGACCGCCTACATCACCGAATTATCGGACATGGTGCCGACGTGTTCAGCACTCGCCAGGAAACCAGACAAATTGACCATACTGAGGATGGCGGTCGCCCATATGAGGAACCTCAGGGGTAAGTCTCTTTCTTTTATCTCCGTTTCTCTTCTCGTATTTTCGTATATCTCGAGGAAACAGAGCGAAATCCAGAAGAACGATGGTAATAAAATTTCCTGACAATTTCTCTCTCTCTCTCTCTCTCTCTCTCAAGCTAGTAATCATTTATTGAAAATTTAAAAAATTGGAAACTCTCTAATTTAAGGGGGCAGGACAGTTTGACGGGCCTAAAAATTACGAATACTTTTGGAGGACTGGGTTGGTTCGTAACATTTTTTTTTTTCTTTTCTTTTCTTTTCTTTTCTGACGATATTAACAAGCCGCGAGTGGCTCGATACTTCGAGGCTCTTGTATCGATAACCGACGAAGGAATCGTGTAAGCTGTAATTCAATCGGTCCGAGTCAAAGCTTAAAGATCGCGTTGCCGAAGCTATTTCGCTGCTCGTGACGGATAACTCAAACATCGACGATGCTTAATCGTCACGTCCCGCATTGAACTACATTGTGCCTTATCGGACACCCGGCTCGTTGAAAATGTTTTCCTTAACTCTCCTCGTGTGCAGCCCATTCCGTAGCTCGTAATCACTCGAAAGATCGACCAGTTACTAGATATAATCAATGTAAACGCGTGACAGTCGGTCAATCGAACTCTTCTAAATTATTACACCAGTTTCTTCAATACCAACGATACTTTTTTCATTGTCCAAATCTAAACTCCCAAGCAGGAATTCTAAAAATTAAATACAACACGCACAATTCTGATCCATGTGACAATGTAACCATAGCCAGAATTCAAATTCATTATATTCCGATAATTTTATTACGCTATTTATAATCGTAATTATTTCATTAACGTTATATTTTATTCTAGATTTAATATTGAGCAAATTTCCAAATTTATCTTTATTAAAAAAAAATTCAAATTCATTACATTCAAATAATTTTATTACGCTATTTATAATCATAATTATTTCATTAACATTATATTTTATTCTAGATTTAATATTGAGCAAATTTCCAAATTTATCTTTATTAAAAAAAAAAAAAAAACAATCATACAACTGAAATTATTTTTGAACTAAGAGGCAACCAACTGTTTTCCAATGTAAATTTGAGGCAATCTCTAGTTCGGTATCCTCCGATCGTTCCGACGAAAGGACAACGTCTTCATAATACAATACAAGAGCACCTGAAATAACCAAGAGGGGGTGGTCGGTTTCGACACAGCCACAGAGTTTGAGTTTCTCCTCTTTCTTCGCGGTGGAATTCATCCGGCCGACGCGCACCGGAACGGTCATAACTCCACGAAGGTTTCGTCGTGTGCTCGGTCATATCGAATGCAGAAAGCGCGATATATGCTTCCGGTGCAAGAATGGGTGGAGTAGCTGCCCCGTCGGCTGTCCCTTTAGCCCCCTTCGACTGCCTTTCTACGATGCGTGCACACACGCGTTCGTGCGACCTCTCTCTTTACCTCTCTCTCCTTCGTTTCTTTCCCTACGGTTTCGTTAGTGAATCAGTTGGTGTGCGTGTCGTGATTCCAGCTAAGTATTGGTGGTGCGTCGCATTGTTTATAGCCACTTCTCCTCTTTCCCGACAACGCGGCCGCTGAATACAAATTGCTCCAGAGGCCGGAGAGCCTCTCTCTCTCTCTCTCTCTGTCTCTCCCGTTTCTTGCTTCGTTACCTGTGTGTCTTTACCCACTGAGAGAGAGAGGAGAGAGAGAGAGAGAGAGATAGGCGATCACCTCCGGGATACGTCGCGCGCGTACACGCACCCACCCCTCGTCGGCGCGCACCCATCGCACCGAGAGACGTCCAACAGACACTTTTCTCTGCTCTTCCTCTTCGTTTTCATTAACTTTTTTCTTTTTCGCGGAATTGATACACATTCTTCGCTGGCTTTACTAAATTGTTGAATCAAGAATATGCCATGGAATCTCTAATAGCATAATTATGCCTCTTGCCCTGGAATGACCGTGCCCACGCATGTCGAGAATTTTTTTTGCTTCAAATATTGTAATATTTTCTCCGTTTTAAATATATTTAAGTACAGCCCAAGCGAGACAAATAATAAATTTGAAGGGATTGAAAAAGTGTGTTGATAATGCATCATGCGAGGATGGAAGGAACTTAGATTGTGAAGGTGGGTAAAGGTGAGGAAAAGGTTTTGTGCGTTTTGTCTCAGAGTCGCTGCCTAGATTCATCGGTGAGGCTGATGGCAGCGACCCCTTATACCCCAGACGCTTGTTATAACTTACTCGTTAGGCTGGACGGTCACCCATCCTAGCCGTGTTCCGCACTCTATTTGCTTAACATCGAAGATCGCTAGACTTCGACACTAGGCGCACAGTCACTTGCGGCTTGTACAAGTCTGTGTTCGAAACTCGTACTCGAGGGACTCTAGGCCGCTACAAATTTATATACTTCTCGATAATTTCTATCGAATGGTATCGTGCCGACGAGTTCAAAGGAAAAAGAATGCGACAAATTATTGTATACGGTTCGGTCACTCGTTATGGTCCGCAGTCAGTTGCAAGTGATTAACCTCTTGCGCTGTAATAACGTGCCACGCACGTCGAGAACTTTTTGTCCCAAAGTTGCAATATTTTCTCAGTTTTTCAGTATATTTAAGTATAACCCAGGCGAAACAAATAATAAATTTGTTGAATTACTTCTCAGTAATTTCTATCCAAGTTCAAAATGAAAACGACGAATTATTCTATACGGTTTGGTCACTCGTTATGGTCCGCAATCAGTTGCCAGCGCAAGTGATTAACATTAAAACTACGTATAAAATTTCCAGCAGAGACGTTAAAATGAAGAAACAGGAAATCTGTATGGTAACAGTAACTTTTTAACATAAATTTTTATCTATATGTTTTACAAAAATAATAAATTGTAAATATACTTTAAATTATATATAAATATGTTTTACAAAAGTTTAAAATATACTTTAAATTATATATAAATATGTTTTACAAAAATTACAAATATACTTTAAAAAATATTTTAAAATTGTACAATACTGATAATATGAAAATGTTAATCTTCTAGCAATGAAGTGTCACTAAAAATTCTCCTTCGAGCTTTATTTTTACCACGTGATCGATCAGCGAGAATTATTTCCTTGAATCGATAGATCGTATCAGCTTCCGGTGTTCGCGTCCCGCGCTGTATGCGAATTAAGCGACAATGAAACTTCGGGATGATCGGAGCGACGACTCTGATTTCTAAATTCCTTTTCGCTCGTTTATGCTTCGAGTAATCGTCGTAGAGAAATCTGGTTACTGAATACTGATCAAATAAACCTTGCGATTAATCACAAAATAGCCGATCATGAATTCTTCAATCATATTTTAAGATTACATTTCCTCTTCGTACCTCAGCCACAACTAGTGTTAACCGCAACAATGGATCCTCGACTCTGGTATTAAATTCAACAATAAATTCCAATAGAAACATAAATCCGTTCAAACCTACGATATAATCTCATTTACAGACCGCGGATTTTTATGCGAAATCCTATTTTTTCAAAATATAATTCAAGATATCGAACTTGCGTAGAAGATTGTTCTACACCTCGAGCATTATAAAAAGCATTGTACTTGACATATAATAAATTTATTACTTATCAACAATTGTTATCCAGTGATATCGACGAGTTGAGAAAGAAAGCGACGAATTATTGTTATACGGTTCGGTCACTCGTTATGGTCCGCAATCAGTTGCCAGGCGCAAAGAGTTAACCTCTTGCGCTGGAATTTGTCCCAAAATTGCAATATTTCCTCAGTTTTAAATATATTTAGGTATAACCCAGGCAAAACAAATAATAAAAATTTATTACTTGTCGATCATTTCTATCCAGTGATATCATACCGACGAGTTCAAAAGGAAAAGAAAGTGACGAATTATTGTATACGGTTTTGGTCGCTCGTTATGGTCCGCAATCAGTTGCCAGCGCAAGTGGTTAGAAACCCACCTGGTGGAGTATGTTTCGCTAGATAGGTCAAGGGGAGCATCCGCGTCTCCTTTGGATGGTAGAATCACGGCAGCATTTATGTCCATCGAAAGATCGTTCCTCTACGTGGAAGGTAATGGTAACGAAGGTCACCCGGGGTCTTCCATAGATCTTGTTTGGAAGTCGTTAAAGTACCTCTTCCCGGAATTTCTCCGTATATCGGGGTAAAGATCGCATCGCGACCCTCTCTCTCTCTCTCTCTCTCTCTCTCTCTCTCTCTCTCTCTCTCTCTCTCTCTCTTGGTTGCTTCTCTCTATCGCCTCTCTCTCTACCGTCTCGCGGGATCCTGTCCGCTTTGCAATTCCGATCTTGCACCTCGATAGTTACCTACGCTTGCCGAGGAGCTGCTCCGTCCTCATTTTTGGTTCCTTCTCCCTTCGTCCCTTGCTCCAAGCTTCTTGTTGAATTTCAAAGATTTGTTTGTCGTCAAATGTTGCTCGCGACGGTACGTCCAACGCCATTTTTTTGAAAATGATGGATTTCAGAGAGATCTCTGGTGATACAACAGTTATTTAACCTGTTGCGCTGGAATGACGTGCCACGAGAACTTTTTGTCCCAAAATTGCGACATTCTCAGTTTTATTTAAGTATAACCCAGGCGAAACAGATAATAAATTTATTACTTCTCAGTAATTTCTATCCAGTAAATATCGTACCGACGAGTTCAAAAGAAAAAGAAATCGACGAATTATTGTATACGGTTTTGGTCACTCGTTACGGTCCGCAATCAATTGGCAGCGCAAGTGGTTAACCTCAAAATTGTAATACTTCCACAGTTTTAAGTGTATTTAAGTAAAACTAAAATAGGCAAAGCAAATAATAATAATATTTATTACTTCTTAGTAATTTCTATCCAGTGATATCGTATCGACGAGTTCAAAAGAAAAAGATAGCGACGAATTATTGTATACGGTTTTGGTCACTCGTTATGGTCCGCAATCAGATGCCAGCGCAAATGGTTAACCTCTTGCGCTGTAATGACGTGCCACGCACGTCAAGAACTTTTTGTCCCAAAATTGCAATATTTCCTCAGTTTTCAGTATATTTAAGTATAACCCAGACGAAACAAATAATAAATTTATTACTTCTCAATAATTTCTATCCAGTGGTATCGTACCGACGAGTTCGAAAGAAAAAAAAAGCGACGAATTATTGTATACGGTTTTGGTCACTCGTTATGGTCCGCAATCAGTTACCAGCGCAACTGGTTAATCATTGACCGGACTTTCAGTTTTCGTATCGAATATAGTCGATGTTTACATTCGATTTTTACATTCAAGTTAAATTTTATTTTCTAAACTTTACGTTTAAACTCTCCCACGCAGCATAACGGAAATTATGCGACCGTTGAAATTGAATTAATGTGTGGTAAGGGATTGATCCCTTAATCAATTGTTTCTTCGTTGTTCCTTGCAACTCTCTTTCAATTCTTTACGCTCCTCGCTTTTATTTCACGCGGCAATGTACACCCTTGTCACGTTTAATGGGATTTTTCACATGGATTTATGGGTTTACGGGGCGTAATCAATATTCTATAGTAGCATAAAAATTCTCAAAGTTCTGATCGAATTTGCCATTCGCTACCGCAAGTTTGATGAAAGATTTGCTTGCTTGTCCTCGGGGAATTTAATTCTCTTTTTTCGAGTATCGTAGGTATCGGGGATGGGATTTAATAAAGAGTGAACACACCTCAAAGATAGAACGTCTCTGATTTACAAGCGAGTGGAGAAGCATAGTGGGACGTAGGACAAGGCATCCGTTTCACTTGAAAACTGTTCCTCGTTACACGTGCGCTCGATGTCGAGAGGTAGATCCCTCGGATCGATACGGACCATTTACATCAAACGCGATATAAAAATCCAGTCCTCATCGTGGAAAAAGTAAACGCGTTGTCTCGAAGGAACAATCAATTTTCCTCTGTCGGAGAGATCGACTCATGGGTCAAAGTTTTATTACACTAAATCCCCCAACTACCTCGAAAAGTCAGTATCTTAATTTACCGAAAACATAATCATCTTCCTTAGAAAAAAAAAAGACACAAGTTAAAAAAATTTTGACCCAAACGATAGAGGTTCGTTTTCAAGTTTTCAAGTTACGAAGAACGAACGATTCGATCGTTGAATAAATTGAACTTAACTCGATTAAGTTCAGTAGTTGCCAGCCGGTTGCCAATTTGATCAGAAGTTAATCGAAGATCCGTGGAAAGAAAGATGCGAAATTTTGTGGCAGGAACAGGAAACACCAGTTCAGACGGCGCATACAAGCCCTCCTTCCTCACTGATCAAGAGCTGAAGCACTTGATCCTGGAGGCAGCCGATGGCTTTCTTTTCGTCGTTAACTGTAACAGCGGGATGATCATTTACGTCTCCGATTCTGTGGCGCCTGTTTTGAACTACACGCAGAACGATTGGTACGGGACCAGCCTCTATTCGCAGGTCCATCCGGACGATACGGAGAAAGTGAAGGAGCAATTGAGCGGCGCCGAGCCGGAAAACGGCGGCAGAGTATTGGACTTGAAAACAGGAACGGTGAAAAAAGAGGGGCAATGTAAGTATATAATATAATATAATTATATTATATTATATTATATAGCTTGTAGCTTATTTAGCTATATTATATAATTATATTATATTATATTATATATTATTATATATAATTATATTATATTATATTATAGCTTATGTTAAGGTTATATTATAATATAACAAGAATTATATAGCTTATATTAAGCTCATATTATAATATAACAAGAATTACATAGCTTATATTAAGCTTATACTATAATATAACAAGAATTATATAGCTTGTATTAAGCTTATATTATAATATAATAAAAATTATATAGCTTATATTATAATATAATGAGAATTATATAGCTTATATTAAGCTATATTAAGCTTGTACTATAATATAATAAGAATTATATAGCTTATATTAAGCTATATTAAACTTGTACTATAATATAATAAGAATTTTATAGCTTATATTAAGCTATATTAAGCTTGTACTATAATATAATAAGAATTATATAGCTTATATTATAATATAATAAAAATTATGTAACTTATATATTAATATAATAAGAATTATAAAGCTTATATTATAATATAATAAGAATTATATAGCTTATATTATAATATAATAAAAATTATATAGCTTATATTATAATACAATATGAATTATACAGCTTATATTATAATATAATAAAAATTAAATAGCTTCTATTATAATATAATAAGAATTACGTAGCTCATATTACTTGGACTATAGTACTTTTACTAGTTATTTAGTTAGTGGCTCACATAATTATTGATATATCAATCTTTATTGAAACAAAAGTTAACGAATTCTAATGATAATAATAACAATAATAGTAATAATAATAATAAAAAAAATAACTTGGACTGTAGTAGCCTTACTAGTTAGTTAATGGTGATGTATCAATCATCATTGAAACAAAAGTGAACGAATCATTGGAATGGAAATAAATCTGGATTAACATCCGCAGCGTCGATGAGACTGTGCATGGGCTCGAGAAGAGGCTTCATATGTCGCATGAAAGTTGGGAACATGCAGACGACTGGCGACATGGCTGCGGCCCATGGCCTCCACCACGTGAAACAGAGGAACTCCCTCGGTCCTCCAGCTCGCGACGGTCAAAATTACGCGGTGGTTCATTGTACAGGGTACATCAAAAGCTGGCCACCAAATGGTGAGTGTTTGGCAATTGATTTCAATCTCTCGTCAGTGTTGCTTCTTGCTGATTTACCACGATGACGACGACGATGATGATGATGATGATGATGATGATGATGATGATGATGATGATGATGTACGTTGCCATCGACGTATAACGGGGCCTGTTGATGGCTGCGCGCGAGACATAGCGCCAACTTTCTATTTTAAAGCGAGGGAGACAAGTCGATGTGCAGCAAGAATATGAACGAACCCGACCACTTCGTAGAATGCACGAGGATAGCGACGTTTGTACTATAAATTAAGGGGGCCGGCACTCGGTGGCGAGCACGGATGGTATATGATCGGTTTGTAAAGAATGAATGGAATCGTCTTGACCTAACAGCCGACAGAATACCGATAAACTATGTCGAGACGGGGCCCGATGCGGAATTTGTATGGCTTATCAAAGACCCCGATGCATAATAACGGCATCCGATCCTATGCCAGCCGATTTTCGCCCGATTTTCCGCCTTCCACGTATACCTTATTTTCAATCGTTTCACGAGCAATTGAACTTCGTACCTCTCCTTTTTACGTTGTATTTGACGTGGCGTCTTACGTAAATTATATCTATTCAAGAGTCCATTCAATTCTTGCAAAATTTATTGGCAGTCTCCTTTATCACCATCGAGTGCCCGCAAGGGAAGACTCTTGTAATTATAATCTTTGCAATTAACACGTTCTCCGGCACGTTACGTTACTCATGTGCAAGCGATAATGTTATCTTTGCGGGACGTACAATGTCTCTTATCCGCGGGTGATTTCGCTTTTAGAATCACGTCATGCAGCTGATTCATAGAACGTTACGTACATATATTTCTGTAATGTCTGAATGAGCTTTCCAGTACCAAGTGCTGGAATTCAAAATTTCAAAATTGAATCCAAAATTAATATTGCACGTCGCGCATTATATAATTGAAAATGATTTAAAGAAACGAAGATTTGAAACGACATCTGACAGGAAACATGTTAAGCAAACAAAGAAATAACTCCAAGAGAAGAAGAATTGAAGTAATTTTAAGATGGATGGAAGTTGACGAGAATTCTAATATGCACGTTCGTAATTGAATGATATTCCAAATTCTATCCATCTTGGAAGTACGTAGCTAGCGTTGTTGTGCCTAGCAGCATGTAAATCATAATCAGTTTTTGGATTATGAGGAACCATGGACTGACTCGTCGTTTTACGCTGTAGGTGATTTTGTACCCCCATGTGTACCAGGTATGGGATTAGCTGACAGGGAGGCTGCCGGCGTTCAAGTCGGACCTGACGGGGTGGTCACAGACGACAACGTCAGCACTCACTGCTGCCTGGTTGCCATTGGGCGACTACAGGTTACTAGTACACCAAATAGTAGCGATTTAGCAGGTTCCAATAGCAATAATGGCAAGTATTCATTAAATAATGTTACTTTGGCATTCATGGTAAGCGGGCATTTGTTTCATCTACATCTCTCCTTTGTTTCAGAATTTATTTCACGTCATTCGGCCGAAGGTAAATTTACCTTTGTGGACCAAAGAGTCGGTGGAATTCTAGGATACACACCGTCCGAGCTCTTAGGTCATCCGTGCTACGAATTCTTCCATCCGGAGGATTTAACGCATATGCGAGAAAGTTTCGAGCAAGGTGATGCCTCTTAAGACTGAGAGAAAGACCATCCATATTCGTGGTTCCTTATTGTTAATGATCGCCTGTTGTTGCAGTGCTGAAGATGAAGGGACAGGTAGTGTCTGTAATATACAGATTTCGAGCCAAAAATCGTGACTGGGTGTGGTTAAGAACGTCTGCATTTGCATTTTTAAACCCGTACAATGACGACGTTGAATACATTGTCTGCACGAACACACATGCCAAGTATGAATCGACACTGGACCGTTCAGTTCACTTATTTTGTATCGTGCAAATGTATTTTTGAATCTTTCTCATTTCTTTCTTTATGTATAACTTTAAAAACGTTCGTTCTAATATTTAAGGTCATTCCATCCTAGCAGTGATGGTCAGACAGAAAATGAAGCTGTACCTGCTTATGGACAACCTGGCCTAGATTATTCCCTGCAGAGACATCCTACCAGAGATCCTCTTTATTCTGGGCATCATATGATGCAGCATCCAGCGACTGTCGCTACAGCTGGTAGACTACTATTAACTTAAATTATTAATTTTATATTTAAAGTTATATTTAAAATGTATTAATGTAATCATAAATAAATTCACTAGGTCCTCAACAACCTAGGCCGTCCAGTACGCAAAATGTGTATCAGGGATACGAAACGACGCAATCGCCTATAGCTTATGGTTCCCCTGGCCAACAAAGTGCGTCTTCTTCTGTTTTAAGCAGAATTCAGAAACCAGCTAACACATCGCCAACTCCAGTGCAACAAGGGTGGGCTATTGGAAGACAGGTAAATATATAAAAAATAAGTCTGTGCTTAATCTTAGAAAACATTTCATGAAAACCAGGTTGTAATATTGCTTACCGTTTTAGCAACCTGTGACAGAAGGATACCAGTACAATCAATTAAGTCCTTCGAGGTCACCGAATGGACCAACATATACTCAATTAAGTAGCGGTGCTAGGACACCAGCCACGCAATATCATGCAGTCACAACTGTACCTAATAACCCCGGTAAGCTTAGTTTTAATCCAGCGCTCTAATAAGTAATCTCTAATGTCTATAATATTCATTTTATTTAATCAACGACAGAACAGAAAGATAAATAATTGGATCATTATAGGCATGTGGGGATGGCAAAGCCAACAACATCAGGCGCCTCAGCAAGATGGCGGACAATCAAATCCTCAGGTGGCTGGACAAGCACAACAACCCCATCCTTCGCAAGGTGGACCCGGCACACAACCACAGGAATTGTCAGACATGTTACAGATGCTGCAAGATCAGGGTGGAGCGTCCGGTTTCGAGGAGTTAAACATGTTCAATACTAATTTCGAGTAGCGACAAGAAAACAGCATGGCCGATAAACGTCTATCTTAAGGAAGCTTTAGTATTCGAGTTTCATTTAATTGGAGTTTGTTCCAAGTATCGTAAATCACACTTTTACTTGAGCATTATTCAATTATGATAACAAGAGTTCGCCAGTCAGCACCTCATGCGAAAATTTCAACTGAATTGACTCTAACTTTACGATAGAGATTTACTATCCGACTTTCACAGATTGATTTATCAGCGCTTCCGTTCCGCTGGAACTATTTTATTGTGGTTGACAGTGCGATTTTAACAATCGTATGATTGCTTGCGCGGTAAATTATTCGGAATTCGTTTTGCGAAAGTGCCATTAAATATCACGTTGGGAAAAAAGAAACAAAATACAGAAAGTGGGAACTTATAATACGCACAGATGGATCAGTTGACGAGATGCAGGTTTTAACATTTGACAAGTAACACAGATGGATCTTTCGTAAGGGAATTTATAATTTATAATTTTAAGTTTCTTTTTTCTTCTTTTCTTTTTTTTTTTTTCTTTTTTCTTCGTTTGCTTCTTACAACTCAAGCGTAGGTTAAGTTGTATTTAGTGGATGATCATTTCTTTTTGTTGATCTGATTTTGTGACATTTAGAGGATTTTGATGTAAGCAGTGCAAGTTAGGAAATGAATTCTCCTCACTGTTTTAAAAAAAAGGACGCAAGTATAGTAGCGTAAGTTATATTTAAATTGTACATGACATTTCACGGACGGTGTGGTAATAGGAAGAGCTAGAACTTCATTGAGAATATTGTTAAATGGATGTAAGTATATGTATAAAATTTTGGATAAAAAAAAAAGGAACAAAAATGCGTGTAAGATTTGTAATTGTTCGAGGAAAAGTAATGCTTCATTAAGATTTCAAACGAAACGTTCGTTGTGTATGAAACTGCATGTATTTTGTACGGTTATTATCACTTTACATTTTTATAGAATTTTAACGCCTCATCTGTGCTTATTAATAAGTAATAGGGAGTGATTTCTCTCCTTTTTTACGTAGTAGCGGTTTTGTTTCAAAGAAACTAGCGCACTTCGATGAACGTTCAAAGAGATGCATTTTAAACGATAAGGGGAAAAAAAAGCGAAACAAAGTATTTTTTAAAAGGAACTTCTCAATCAAATTCACACAAATCACGGTAATTTTAATACAAGCTTATCGTTAGATTTCTAAGATTAGCTTAATTATTTTAATTTAGATCTTTGTAATTATAAATAGTGCAATCGTCAAAATCGACGCTGAAAGGAAAGCATTGTTTGAACTCAACAGTGATGTACAAAAAAAAAAATTATATGTAATCCACTTTGCTTCTCTGTGCAAAACAAAAAAGCAGAAACACCATTTTTAGATATTTCTAAAGAAAAATATAGATAACGTTACACATACGAAAACATAATTGCATTTATAAGTAACCACGTGTGATTTAGTGCATTGTAGATGTACATGTCTAGCAAATTCTTATTAAGTAGATCAAAGGAACAGTTGCAGCATATCATGATGAATTGGGAACATTTGTCACTAATATATATAAAAATTTACATTACACCTATAATTCTTTTTAATCATCCTTTGTCGAAAGTAGCTACGATTATTGACAATAATTAACATATTGAAGTCGACGAAGGCATCAATATGTATAACGCAAATAACTGATTAAACTTCGAAACATATTTCTGATTATATTCTATAATCCTTTCTCCTCTATTATTTGAAATCTATTATTTGAATATTTCTTATTGTTCTGTCCAAACGAAAGTAAAATAAATCCTAGGGACGACTTAGGGGCAGGCTAAAAATCAAACGTTATACAACATTTTTAACTTGTATTTAAATAACTTTGTACAAAAATTATAATTTTAATTTTATCGCAGATAAAACATTTTTCTGTTTCTTCGAGCCATCAGTATCAGTCTTTGCTTTAATGTGACTCTTCACTTCATCTTGTAGTTGATTAAAGAAGGCTGTAGAGGATTTGGGAGCTTTTAAACTTGACTCGTCCATTTTTATGATATTTCGATTTTTGCTCAATTTCTTTGCCAACTCTTGCGCCTTTTCTTTCTTATATTTCTTAGCAACGCCTGGTTTAAGCGCATTTAATTTCTCCTTTTGCTCCATGGCTTCTTTTCTAGCATGTTGTCTCATCTTCTTACGTCTTCGTTCTCGTTTCATATCTGTTTTGGTTCTTTCCGTCTTACCAATCATATCACCTCGTGGTTTAGCTTTAAAAAAGAAATAAAGATCATAATTAAATACTGTAATTACAAAAAATTTTTTAAACGTGCGAAATTTTTTGTAGACAATATACCTTTAATTTCTTCTGGTGCTAATAAAGCAGCATCGCTCAGTCCAACTGGAGCCACTTCTTCCATGTTGATTGCAGGCATATTATTAATCACTCTAATCTCCGGTTTGACCTTAGAAAAAAATGTGTAACATTAATTATTGACTAAATAAAATTTATAAAATTTATAAAATTTTTTAAATATTACAATCTCTTACCAGTCTTGGAGTGAAGTGGAAATTGGACAAAGCATCCAACTTGAAGAACAAGGAATTCATCATTTCACGAACTTCTGTATGCAACTTTGGTTCTTCCTCTTCTTTCTCATTGTTATCTGGATTTAATGCTTCCTTCTGTCTAAGGTACTCATTTTCGTATATTTGAGATAAACTTTCTTTACTTTTTTCCTGATTCAAGATCAATTTCTTCTTATATTCCAATGGAGTCTCAACTGGTTTAAACTTCTTCTCAACATCATCCCAAGCTTTATCTTTTATTCTTTGTTTAATTATATCTTCTAGTTTTAATGTTGTTTGCTCAGTAATTACAGGGGCAGGTCTGGTTGTAATATCAAATTCTACAAATTCCTCCAGCAAGGAATTTTGCGGTCTGTTTGTTGCAGTGACTTCACCTTTCAGTTGCCAAGGTTTGTCACTTATAGCTTCCTTTTCCAACTTTTCAATCTTTGTTTTTAATCTTTCTTGGCGCATTTCTAAGGAAGATTTAACTTCTGTATTTTCTTTCAACTTCATATTCTTACTTTCTAAACTATCTGACTCATCAGAGTCATTCGTAAGGTTAAACGTAACCTTTTTCTTGGAAGACTTTTGATCTTCTATTTCACTATCTATATCCATTTCATTATCCGAATTACTATCATTATCTAGTAATTCATTATCCAAATTACTATCATTATCTAGTGATTCATTATCTGAATTACTATCATTATCTAATGATTCATTATCCTCAGACCTTTTACGCTTGTGTTGTATGGAATTATTAGATTCTTCTTCACCTTCACTCTGTGGACTATCGAAGAAATCTGCATACTTCAACAGTTCTGCCTTCTCAATTTTGTCATCATTATCATCAGAAAAATCATTGAACAAATCTACAGATTCATCGTCAGAATTTTCTTCGTTCCTTACATTCTGTTTTTCTTTCCTTTCTTCTTTCGTTAGGTACTCATCTAACTCTTCCAATTTAAAAAACTTATCATCCACTATAGATGATTTCTTTCTTCTTCTCTTTAAATCTTTCTTCTGTTTTAAATTACTTTTTAGTTCTTCCTCATTGTCATCAGTTTCCTTAGTCATTTTCTCTGTGTCCTCTGGTAGATCTTCATTATTTTGTTCAGGTACAGACTTCAATTTAGTTGTACTGACTGGTAGCTTGAACGCTTTGGTTTTGGCTAGTAGTTTAGAAACACCACCAATTAAGTGGTCAAGTTCGCCCTCGTTTTGTAATTCAATTTGCTGCCAGATCTGCTCTTCGTCAAAACCTTCTGTAACAAGCTCCGGCAAGGCATTCGTGTTTCTTTGCGATTCCCGTTTCGTAAAGTCGTATAAATGCTTTAAGGAATTTTTAAAATCCAGAGCAACACCATTTTGAACGCTATAGACAAAATTATTGTTACTGTTATAAAGTTAAACGCAGGTTAAGAACGAAGAATTGAGATTTGTACTTACGTTAAAAATTGTTCAGGTTTTTTAGTATTATTATCAACAGCACTTAAAATGCTATTAAATATTTCTATACCAGCCATTGTGTATATTTACATTTAACTTAGAATTAACGAAAAATTATACAACTGATAGGGTTATTCTCTTTATGATCAAATACCATTAGTGTATTATGGTTACAAGCAGTGTTGCCACCTGTGTAACGAATATGGAATAGGACGTGAGTAATATAGTAGGGAATAATAAAGTTTTGATTAATAACTTCTACTTTAATTCCGAATTTTTTCGATACATTTGAGTTATATTTTGTGAATAAATGATAGTATATACATTGGTGTCCATACATTTACAATAATAATAATTACAGATTCGAAAACTTGAATTGCAATATTGGCGCGGGCTGATGACCAATTATCAGAGGTTAAACGTAGTGTCACGGTACGTTCCTAGATGGCAAGACTCGTTCGATGGCCACCGGAGCGTCGCCGGTCCATGCAAAATGACCTGGTGGGGCATTCGTGAAGGAACTTCTGGAGCGCTGGGGGTGGGAGGCGGGAACCGTCGGAGAAACGCTCGGAGTTCGAAGCCGCAAACGCATTGGCGCAGACCTCGGTACGGTTCGCGTGACACGCTACCGCCAGCACGAAGTTGAGGCGTGTTTTTCTGAGTTTTGTACCGTGTGCGCGTGTGTTTATGAAACCTCGCAACAACGGACCAAACACCTAGGTGTACGCATTCTAGTGGATACAGTGTGCTTGGAAAGTGTGTTTGACACAAGTGCGTTCTCACGGAATTTCCAGGCGCTTTTGCTCCAGGTTTTGGATAAGCTTCGTACACACGTCGAAAGTACGTATGTATACAGTTGACAGACCGTTATTTACCTATCCCGTGTAGTTTATCGAACGATCTGATCGAATGACGAACCGTTCGATTTACATATATACGCATTGGAACGAGATTTTCTAAATTTCGTACGATAGTTCGCAATTTATTACGAACGCCGTCTAGCCAGATTGAGACTCCGAGTTTGTTTATTGTCCTCGAGGTCTGTGTGGTCGGCAAACAGAAAGTTTACGCGCGAAAAGGTCGATGGGTCACGTGGGATATTTCGTGTAACGTAGAGAATCTACTAATCCACTTCAACGACAGAAAAAGTCGTCTCGCGTGCGAAAGTCCTTGCCCCTGTGAGGGGCTTTCTTTCGTCATAACATAACTGGAATCTTTGCGAACTCGTCGCACTGACCGAAAGGTTATCCTTGATCTTTTCGAGATTAGCCATGACGGGTGTTGCGTTTATTTGAATTCGCCTTTTTCGAATATGCGTCCCCCCTTTGCGTTACCATGTTTGGTTGGTACTTCTTAGAAATATCGTATACAAAAATAATTACTTTTTCCTATTAATTGAAAGAATACTATCCTTTGATCCGATCCAGCAATATTTTTCGAAAAGTTCTGAAGTGTGAGGAAAATAACAAGAAATTGCTATTAAGATGGATTATGTCTCCTAACATTAGACCCTTTAAAAGTAAGATTGAAAATCCTTTTCTTTATTGAAGAATCGTATAAAAATTTGAAGCACATAAAGTTAAAAGAATTTTGGAGAGAATTATAAAGGCTGAACATACTTGGGAATCGTGCGAAAAGTATTGAAATATTTTATCATTCTTCGTTTCATTCACATTCTCAATCTCATCTCTCAAGAATCTTTTTCTTCTAATCCTTAAATGATGACGTATACGTTATTTATACCACAATTACTAATTTCAAAGAAATTTTCCTCTACATCATTTAATCTTTTTATTATTTTTATTACTGTACATGTAGTAGGTATACAATATTTAAAAGTTTTTACTGTTTCAAGTATCTTTTTCTTCAAGCATCAATTCTCCGCTTGAAAGTAATGGCGGTGTTTTTAAATTTCGCGCACTTTTATATCGTGTATTTTAAATTTCGATTTGACGAATTTCATCGGTAAAAAAAAATCGATATCGATTTCTCCCCCAAGATGTCTCCACTACCATCATCCCTCACCACTTAAAAGGCGTTATCACATCTGCGTTTGTGTTATGACCGAGGATTATGCAAGATTAGGACTAAATTCAGAGGTTATGGTTGCTCATAAATTCTCTATACACGTTTTGTATCGTCAAGCACGAAAATGATCAATCAGATCAGTTGAACATTCTATTCGTACATTTTGCTTCAAGAAAACTCTAATTATTCTAATTTCATACTTGCATAAAGGTAGCTTGGTACCTTTCTTGGAGCTTCCTCTTCCTGGGGATATTCTACATCTCTTTATTCCCATGTGCAATGATCTACGCGTAAATTCATTCTGTTACGAGGTCAGAATTCCTCGCGGAGAACTGGTCGTTTGCAAAGGTCGCTCGACGGACAGCTGGAAAACCGCGCGCGCGCATGCGTACGTGTACTGTACACAAGGGATACCGGTGGAGATTTTCCTTTTCCCTCCGCGGTCGGAGCAAGTTTCTCTGTTGGAAGCGAACGATCATAACGGGGCGCTGGCGTCGTTGCACGTGAAATTGGAGCGGACTTCGATCCTTTCCCGAACGGTACCCGGCATTTGATCAGAGCCTTAGCCCCTGCGTTCCACGAGGAAATAATATTACGCGCGCCGCCGCCGCGCCGTATTGCCTAGAGTTTCTAATGAGCCCCTCCAATACTCGGTCCGTTCCTCTACTACACGAATACCGTAATTCTCAATGGATATCGTTCTTTTCTCTCTCTCTCTCTCTCTCTCTCTCTCTCCCTCTCTTTCATTGCCTCCCTTTCTCAAGAGTCGTTTTTCTTCCCTCCATCACGCGGCCTTCTCCCTTTACTTCTACCAGCCGTGCTTTTCTCGTTCCCTCTACTCCCCGCCAGTGGTTCCTTTCGATGCGCGTCTCGCGGGCGAAAGTCGTGTATGTGAAGCGATGGGAATAACCGTTCTTGCGTTAATTTGTTTGAAATTGCAATATGAGAGAAGAATATATGTCGAAGAATCATCATTTATTTTAATTAAGGTTAAGTAGTTGATCAATTCATTTCTATGTATTATGAGAATTTATATGGCACGATATATATATATGAGATAAGAGGTTATCCTACATGCAGAAGTAAATAAACAATCGGTAGACTTAAGCTTCGATTTCAAAGACACTAAATTTAAGAACGTGTCAAGTATATGTGCAAAAATATAGTTAATTGCGAATGGACAATGGTGTCACGTGCTGTGAGCTAGGTTAGAAGATTATGCATATGAATGTGAAATGTAAATACGTACATGAAAATCAGTTTTAAATGTGTCATTCTTTGATTTATTTTTTTATTTAAATACGTAGAATAGAAAATCTTACATGAATAAAATCTATACGAATAAAATCATGCATATCGAAAATATAAATATGTTATGTCTATTTAAATACGTAGAATAGAAAATCTTATATGAATAAAATCTATACGAATAAAATCATGCATATCGAAAATATAAATATGTTATGTAACCAAAATGAACGCTTTTATCTTGTCCTTTGATGAAATTAACAAATACTGTTTGTTATAAAGACGTCGCTTGTTGGAAAGAAACGCAGATTACGAAATGATGTAAATTTTTAAACACATTGAGATAACGCCAGGAGAAATTATCGAATTAAGAGAAGAAAAAAAAATAATTTTATTTCCAAAACATCATGTTTACGCGACACCGGCTGATTTAATTAAAATAGAATCTAAAAATATCCGGTCAGGCTGCTCATTAGTATGCAATGTAAACACCCGTTATAGATTAAGTATCGTCTGGTGAGTTCATTTGTTCAAGGATTTTACCGCTCGAAATCGTTTCAAGGTCACACTTGCTAAACACTCGAATTTCGTCAAACATAACCTGCAAATAAATTTATCATAGAAACAGAATGAAGAATTTTTCGAAGATCAGAGCATTCTGTCGATATCGAACAAATGAATATTATATCGTTCCCATCGCTAGCCAACGTTAGCCGGAGTATTACCAATGAAACGTACGTTTCTCATGCGTGCGCGCGCGCGCGCACACACACGTTTTCTGGGGGAGTTGCTGGACCGCTCTCAAAGTCCCCCTTTTCTCCCTCCTTTTCTTCGTTGCGACCGCGCGGACGAAGAAGATAAGAGGAGGAAGAGAGAAAGAGAGAGACAGAGAGAGATAGAAAGAAAGATCCTTGGCGAGTCCTGGAACCCAAGACTCGAGACGCGAGCGAACAAGCCGAGACTCCGGTTACAGACTTCAAGGCTTAACGTGTACTCCCGCGTTCCGTCAATCGTGGATTTACGAACGACCACGGTGAAAAAGAAAAAAAAAAAATTCTTGCGTGCAATGTGTTATTGTACCGACTCAAGTATCCCCATTACCGCAACCTGTTTCAGGCTACACATGATGGCCGGGTATCGTGTCCCCATGCTTTCCTATACAATTAGGGAAAACTAGGAATTTAGGATGCATGAATGAGGAAATGTGGGACAGCAGTGGCTCCCGCCTCTCTTATTCAAAGTTAACAGCATTAATTATACGTTGAGTCGCTTTTGAAAGTTTCTTTCGAACAGTATTTAATTTAGATTTTAAGAGTATTTAATTAAGGAAAACACGTTTGTTTGACTTGAAAGCTTTCGTAGAGCTACGTAGAGCGGGTACAGTTTCTTTCAAATTTGATGTTCAATTTTGCGTAGAACTCCGGCAAGCTGTTGTTTTCACCGGTGTAAGACGCAAATGATGAACACAGACGACGAGTGATGAAGAAGGAGAGATTTTGGTCGTACATCTTAAACGACATCTCTCATTGGCGTAATTAGTTGTAAGCCCCCCCCCTATACGTGACTCGCCGAGATGCGTCGACGGAATACGATATGAAGAAACGGAGTTTTATCTGGCGCGTACACGCGATCGGACTCCTCTAGCAGACGGCCACGGCGCGACGGTGAATGTAAAACTGCCAGAACGCATGCAGGAATGTAGATTTTTCTTGTCGACTTTCTACGTGCCTCTGACGTCACCACGGGGGGGGGGGCACTGTCAAATGCAGTAGAGGGGCGTTTAAAAAATTGGAGGTCAGACCCTCTATTTTTTGACAAAATTTAATTGAATCAAATGCGATAATAATTAATGAATAGCAAATAAGGCAGCGAAAGAGAGAGAGAGAGAGAGAGAGAGAGAGAGAGAGAGAGAGAGAGAGAGAAACAGAGAAAGAGAGAGGGGGGCATTAAAAGAGAACAAGCGAACAGGCGTTTATTATCCCGTGTAATTAATGCAGGAATGACGATAAGATAGAGGAATAAATAGTTCTCGATTGGCTGGCTGTAACACTACTATCTTTGACCCGGTAGCGTGAAATCATTATTCAATGCCTATTGTCGACAGTAACTTCGAAGGACAACCTCAACAATGCAAGAAAATCGAAAAGATTTTGCCATAGGATTTTTTCTAATGTTTCCATTAGAATTGCATTCTTGCACCCTCGCATTCCATTTCTCGGTTTTCAAGAGATGTCTTGAAATTTGAATTGAATTTCGTTGCTTTTCATCGAGCAAAAAAGCGTATCCACCTCGGTCAGCGACCTCGCTTAAATTTCACCGCTCAAGCCAGTGAAACGTAATTCATTGTAATTCGATGTATCTTCTCCTACGATCGAACAGAACAAAATTATATCAACCGGGGTCTCATTTCACTTTTCACCGCTCATTTCACTTTACGAGTACATGTATATTTCGTTATTCTGTTTCCCACTTAATGGCGTCTTCACGGCGTATTTAACAGCTCGTTCACAGTGCCCTGAAAAAGCATACTTCCCTTCGTGCTATCAATACATAAGCAGTGTACATAGCCCTCTTTTAGGTACTTACAAGTGTCGTTCGCTTCAAGCTGTACATGCTGTATAGGGTTTCGTTCCTTACACAATCGTCATCTTTCATAAACCGTTTATTTTTTTATACTTTCATTTCCGTTTTTGCTTATCCCGATAATACTTCCTTACTTGACCTATCTTCCTAAAAAAAATGCGTTTGAGACAATTGTCAGGAAAAAGGTGAATAATTCCTCTCGCATAATTTCCCTAAATATTTTTCTCGCATAGCAGTGATGTAATGGCCTGTATCGATTTCCGCTCGAGATGGCATACAAATCTGCAGCCCTCCTCATCGTCTAACGGTGAATTAGCAGCTTCGCCATTGCCGCGAGTACGTGCAACGCAATTTTGCTGAAATTCAATGGCCCATTAGAAAGGCATAGGCAAGACTTCTTGGAAATTCGCCGAGCGAATCAGAGCGACGAAGCGGAAACTGGAATCGCCGCAATTCCATCGAGATCTTCCGATTTCAATGCTCGATATAGATGATGGAATGTGATTTAAAAAAAAAAAAAAAAAAAGAAAGGCCGAGAAGGATATTAAATTATCATTGAGACGATTAGATAACCATCGAGGAAATAATTGGATTAGGCGAAGTGAATTGGTTGGCTGATAGAAAATAGTTTGATTACGCGAAAAATGATGAAGTTTACTGAATACAGAATGTACTTAGAATACAAAACTACTTAGTCTGTTACAGACAATTAGTGTACAATCAATTGACGTATTATTTTTTAATTGAGATGATTATTTTCTCTTTTATCATTTAATACAGTTTCTCTATATTTTTTAAATAAGGAATAAGAGGGAATTTGAATTCCTTGAATGATAGGTTTAAGAAAAATTACATTTGCCTGATAAAAATATCCTTTCTATGTATTTAAGGACAAATCCAAATTAATCTTGGAGTAAACACCAATAAATTCGTCTACAAATTTGCATACGTGAGAACTGATGCTCAGTGTACAATTTTTGGTAGATCAACGGTAAAAAAATATTATATATTTACAGAATTTATTTACATTAGAAAAATTAGATGGTAGAAAGGTATATATACACAAATTATTACTATAAACTAGTGGCAGTGTTATTTAATAAAATCAGCGGTTTCCTTTTTCAGAGTCAGCAAATATTTCTTTGATGTACAGTCACGTAAACGTCTCAGGGTCATTATTTCATTCTCTAAGGTGTCACTTTGTTGCTCAAAATAGGTAATCAGTTTCTCTAACATTTCCTTCGCTTCAAGGTGATTTACACCTGTTGCTTCTTGATCACATCTATCATTGAAAGAGTCTTGAATGACTTCTTCATCTTGAGTGGATAAACATACAGTCACAATGTTATCTTCTAATAATAATCGATCTGAACTGTCATTAGTAATAGCATCCTCCAATAAACTTTCACTACAGAGGGTTAATCTTATACCATGCCTAGCTTTCCATCTTCCTAGCCATCCTACACTTGCTGTGAAAGTAGGATCACCACCTAATTTCTTATTAAGGCTGAGGGCCTTTTTTCTAAGGATAGGTCCTGACACAGGAACGCCATTCTCACGTTCTTGTATGTACCACACATATAGTGCATCATCCAGTGTTACATTCTTTGCTTTTTTAATTGTTCCTCTATTACCCAAGCTATCTCTAGAAACCATCTTGGCACAAAAGTCTTCAATCTCTTTTCTGTTTTTTTTCCAATCAGAGACAGTAGATGTTCCTACTCCTAAATCAATAGCCACACTTTTCAGTGGCTCACCTTTATCGATTCTGTATAAAGCTTCTAACTTCTTTGCCATGGTGACAATGACTTTTTTCCTTTTCCCTGACATGCCTGTAAATATCAAGGATATTAAAGGAATGTAGTACGATCCAAAGACAAAGTAAAATTTTATGTAGTATTAACCTACTTGTAGCATTTCTACTTGAGGCATACTGATTAATCACATTAGCATGGTAATACAATCAGTGAAGAATCTCTCTGTTGGACCAATTGTGAACATATTAAAGAATTTGTAAGTTTCAAGAAATAGTATTACTCTGAACTAGTAATATTCATTACTATTAAGTGTTTGTGTTTTTAAAATTGTTAGTGAAAAAACACAAACTATGAATGATAAAATAAAGCGATAAACTATCTTTTCTTTAAGAAACTTTTAATCAACATTTCAATAAATTCTTGTGACTTTCAATAAATATTCAAACTGTATTCTTTTATGACTTAATAAATGAGAAAATTTATAGGTTATGTCGTCTAACCTCGTTTCGACTGCTCGTATTTATCGATAAAAATCGAACAAACAACGAGGTAATTTTGAAACTTCAACTCACTTCAAGCGAGACTCAATTATTTGTGCAATACTGTCATATTTGAATTCCCACTCAAAATCTCATTTAAACAGCTCACTGATAGGAAAAGAACATTTCGATCGCGACGTCCTCTGGCGCTTACAATTAGGAGCATAAAAAAAATGTTATCAAAGAAAAAGGTTAATCAAAATTTCAAAATACACTGGGTGGCTGTAATCGATTCGTATAGGCATAATACTTTAGTAATCTCAGATTAAACTCCGAGTCGCTCCTTATCAATAAAATGAAAGATCCCCCTGTATCGAAGAGTCAACAAATTTTGTTTGACAAGACGACTCATCGAAATTCGTATCACTCGTTCGAAGCGCTTTTGGATATACTGAATTCGTATTGTATTCGCATACAATAGGGTGGCGTGAATTCCACGATGAATTCGTGCGTCCAACTTAAGAATGAAAGGTAGCCTAATGTGGCACGTGAGAGTTTACGCGAAAGTTACTACAAAAGGCATCGCAGAGCCACGCTATTACGTGGACGAGGAACGCGAAACATCAGTGATGTTTACGACTAAATGATGCACGTATATCCATCTTCTGTGAAATAACACGTTCTATTCGTTCTTGATAATACATATGTAGGTAATACATATGTAGGTAAACCGATATGCAAGTTATAATGTACCGTGCATAGCGTGGGATGTAGGAAACATAGCGGGTAAATGGAAAATGTCCAGATATACAGGATGTCCAACTAGTGGTACTAGCGTACGAGTAGTGAAAACTAGATGATTCTACGTGAAAAAGGAAGAATAACATTTTTTTTCACGAGAGCCTTCGTTTTCGAGGAAAAATCGAGTTTGAAAGTTTATCAAGTACATTTGAATTGAGCAGAAAATAATCAATAGATCATTCTACGTGCGAAAATAAGTAAAAACTGTAGAGCAAAATTTTATTTTTTCTTTAACCTTTTACTTTTTAGTTATGGAACCAGTTACCCTGTATATTTCACAATAGCAGGTGAAAGACTGTTATACATTCTTTAAAATATTTTTTTGAAATTTAATTCAGGCATATATATATATATATATATATATATATATATATATATATATATATGTTTGTTGAAATGAATATTGGAAGATTTTGCAATTAGTGGATTCCGAGACAAGTCTTATAATCCTGAAGACCAGATGGTCAATGAAAAATTGGCGCGAACAATTTGTGAAACATTAGTTTCCTCACATCTTTGGAGATCGAGAACATAGATAATATGTAATTCGTTGTTCAATTTGCACCGTGAAAGTTATAATCTAACAATTAACGTCCGCAGGAAACCGAATGACTCACTAACGTCTTGCGATCGAAGGTATCTTGCGCGAACTTTTTGAAAGACAAGTTGTTATTAATTCGATCTATCAGATTGAAATGGTTTTTTTTTTTTTTTTTTTTGTTCAATGGTTAATGTCAGTGACATCGTGTGGAGAACGATGCAAGGTAATTATTTCTCCTTCCGTGATTATCGTAATAAGTACTTACTTAGATTCGTATGGCCAACAGCGAGGTTGTTGTTTCTTCATCGAGCAAGAACTTGAGCCATAAATGGGTCATTGTGCAAATGTTACCGATTCTCTTGCAATTTTTCATTTGAAAAAAAAAGATGCACGCCTTTCTTGACTCATAAATTTAAGAATTTGAAATAACTTTGGAATTTTTAACCTCTTGCGCTGGAAATGACGCACGTCGAGAATATTTCGCCCAAAATTGCAATATTTTCACAGTTTTAAATACATTGAAATATAACTCAGGCAAAACAAATAATAAATTTATTACTTCTTAGTAATTTCCATCCAGCGACGAGTTCAAAAAAAGAAGACGAATTATTGTATACGGTTCGGTCGCTCGTTATGGTCCGCAATCAGTGGTTAACCTCAAAATTGTAACATTTCCTCAATTTTAAGTGTATTTAAGTAAAACTAAAATAGGCAAAGCAAATAATAAATTTATTGTTAGTAATTTCTATCCAGCGATATACCAACAAGTTCGAAGAAGAAGACGAATTATTGTATACGGTTTGGTCACTCGTTATGGTCCGCGAATCGGTTACTAGCGCAAGAGGTTAAATTTCTGAAATCTCGAAGTTTTTGAATTCGCAAATTTCTGGGCGTTGAAATGCTGTAATTTTTAAACTTTCAGGTCCATAAGATTTTTCAGTGTCTCAGTAATTGATGACTCGACGCAAAAGGAACGTAACGAATCTATGGAAAAAAAAAAAAATTACAGCGTTTCACGCGGCATGGCGGCGCCATTTTTGTCGAGCTTGCGACGCCCGATTACGCCGAGAAATTGAAATTAAATGACGACATGTGTGTACTTCCGAGAAACTAATGATGTCATCTGGATTAACGAACTGTCATCCAGTTAAATAAATTACGGCTCGTTCGCGGCGGAGCATTTCGCAATTATGTAAATAATATCGGAGCTACGCTCGCTCTAATCCACTTGCGGAAAATTGGTATTTCGCAGACGAGCGCTGGAATATAGTTGTAGCGCCTTAACCACCTGGAATAGAAACGACAAAGCTAATCGTCTTACAATCAACGATTAGTGGTTTTGATAATTAGTTTTGATAATGATGAGAATAATCAGCCGCAGACCGCATAGTTTTGAAATGGTTGTGCAAACCGTGGATATAATCGTGGATTTTTGTCCTCGCTGCTAGCTTATCGGTAGATGATGGTTCAATTTCAGCGACGATTTGTTCGATGAATAGATTTCGAGAAGTGATTTCATTTCTAAATCAAACGCGAATTACGTCAAACGTCGTGGTTATCTCTTATTTCATCAGAAAGATGAAGTAATAACAAATATCACTATATTATCGGGGATGAAACGTTGTTAGTTCGATAATATTATTGAATTTGTTTAGCGATTGTACGACTCGACGTTCTTTTTTCGAGAAAATTTTTTAAGAAACAAAAGTGCCTTGTATGTATTTGGTATCTTACACGTTCATTCGCATTGTTCCACTTACTATAATACAGAAACATTTCCGGCAATGTGTTTTTCCTCTTCAGTGAATTCTAATTTCACTGTAGAGATACTATGCAAAAGAGGAACGAAAATATCTTGTCAAAATAAAACAACAGCTTCGTTAAATTACAACGACTCAATATAGAATATCTGAAAGAAATGTCAGCACGTTAATGTTATTCTTGCGTGTGTCCCACGTGTTGTACGTCTTCATTAAAGAAAAACAAATGCCCTGTTTCATAAATCCGTACAGATGACGCTAAATGACACTGTAAACTCACGTTACGTTACATTATCCTACAAGTTCTTAATCAAAATTAATCCTCACAATCAGTAGCCTCTTTAAAGCACACTTACACATTCCACACTCGCCGCGAATAAATTAAAAAAGAAGAGAAAGAAAAGAGGATCGAACGCCGGAGATATGTTCTATCAGATAATCTACATAATGACCCTGAACCATTAAATTCACGGTCGAAATGATAGTTGGCTGGCAACAAGTGCCACTGAAAAACGTGGCCGTCGAAGCGGGTCGTTCCGGCCAAATATAGGCATGTCGTCATATCTGTCGTTTGAACTTGGTGTAAAACGCTTGCCACACATCCTTTATTTCTTTTTCACTTGGCCGTGTATACTACGCGTATACTACGCCGGATGAATGTTTGCCCAAGCTATCAGTGTCAATAGAGCGTCGGGTGTCTCTTTTCGAGCTGACTCTGAGCGGAGGGGCGAGAGGACGAGCCTCGATAATAATACGGCTCAAATTTCACCTGGTCTCTTTTGCCACGGTCTTCTCCAAGAGCTGTCGCCGTCGTTGCGTATACCGCATTTCCGGGGCAATTTGCGTGCTTCCTGGCACTAATCGGGCAATATTCTACGCAAGCTCGTCGAACGCCTTTTATCTCCATGCTTTCTTCGTTCGATCACTCGCAGCAACATTTCTTGGCAACTTTCTTTTTTATTTGTCATTCGACAAATTGAGAACGATTCGAAGAGAAACAAGGAGGGAAAAGTATCGTCTGTATTTCGCTCGAGGGGCTAAGGGGCACCAACATCTCCCTGCATCTTCCTCGGTAATAATTTTGGTGGTCGTCCGCTGAATATGCAAATTCAAAACGTCACGCGAGACACGACCGAAATTAGTGCGTTTAAATATACTGTCACGCATCCATCGAGGTCTTGCTGAAAACGTAATTGCCCGATAATTGAAATTTTAATTGCTCTTTCTATTATTCCATTTTTTGCCTGCGAAATTGAAACAAAATCTCCGCTTATTTCCTATTAAAGATACAATAAATTTCGATTGGAAATTTACGTTTAGCAATAATTGAACATAATGATTGAACGTTATTACATTTATAAGTAGTACGTATAATTCGAGATAAAAAAAAAATAACTTTTCGACGTGACTTGTGTTTTGAATCGATATCGGAGAGTTATCGGGCTTTTATCTATATAGACGTTGCTGCAATTCATCGAGGTGTTCCTGTAGCTGTAACGTGGCGCATGCAGCGTACTTCCTGTTGAATCTCGGCGAACTTCCTACTCGCTGTACGAATAAACGAGCTCGCGCGGTGGCTATATCGCAGCCCTGAAGCTGAACGATGAAAGCTGGCGCGAGTGAAAATTGACGTGCGCCGCGTGTAAACACGGAGGAGGAAGTAGTTAGCATTTCTAGAATTTGTAAATGCAATTAGTCTTGATGATGCGCGGAAAATCAGCGGGTGGCTCATCTTGGATTTCGTTTTACTTTCTCTCGCGGTGGCTCCCGTGAACGGACAACTGAAAGTAAATAATGACTGCATTGAACTTTAAGTTCGAGCACGATATATACATAATCAGTTTTAAAATTTTTACGTTACGAAGTAACAAACTGTGACAATTTGCATCAATGATAAATGTTGGAAAATGGAAGTAATAATCGAAGAAACGCGAGAAATTAGAGTTTAATAGTCAAGTGGCGGCGCTAGTGTCGCGTCGTTAGTTCAATTGAAAACGTTGAAAATATTTCTCGTCGTCAAAAATGTTCGAATATTGGTGTCATCGATGGAAGAAATAAGCAGCAGTAAGATGAATTCATAATTCATAACGTCACCGCCACTTTTGGTGGCATAATCGTCGCGACAGATCGACGTACGAAAATATTTGCCGCATTTATGACTTTATAAAGCAAGGTGTTGGTCATCTTTATCACTGATAAATTGGAATTCGTATCGAAGTATATTGAGATTCTGAATTATCGCAATATTCGAAGAAGAGTTATTTTAGGAAATTACGTGTTTCCACTCTGCTGTACGCCAATTTGACACTGTGCATTTATTTCGCGGAATAAAGTAAAAAAATATTTCACCGTGTGAAATTCAGAATAATAGTCAAAAATTTCACTATACGCTATTCCACGCGATACAAACGAGGGAACAGAACAATTCACCTTTTGTCAGTACATTCATGAGATTTTAGGAAGGATCTTTCATTTCCTGTCGCATTGACGAACGTTTCAACGATTCCTCGTATTCGAAGACGTTACATCAGAAGGTGACGACAAGTTAGAACTATAAAAATTTATTTGCCGAGCGTATCTCGCGACGTTTGGTCAGATCTTCGACTAGACTCAAGTGGCTCGTCTACAGCAAACACTGCTTTAATTTAAATTTCAGAGATGTCTACGGTATA